GTATAAAATCAGCGAGAGCAATGAAAGTGGTTCAGAACCTACCGACCCCTATACAAAGTGCGCAGTTCCTCGTTTAAGCTTTTAGCAATTAAAATCAATAAGTCCTTAAGGGTGTTAGTAGGAACAAGGGAGCGCAATCTTTGTGGGACGGTGAATTTCCCTTTGAGCTTTGTCAAAGACAAAATAACAAGTCTCATAGATCAAGAGAAAAACGTGGGTAGTGACCTTTTGTCCCGGCGCAATTACCTGTATTAAGCCGCCAATTGCCAAACAAAGGCATGAGAAGTGAATCTGAGAATGAATTCAATAAGGCTAAATTGTACGTACTTGCAGAACGTACCGAAATGCAACCGGTATTTATACAGGGGGGATCAGAAGTCGTGGAACAACCGACAGAGGGTGATTTGCAATCAGAAGAACCATATACGAGCCCCTTCCCACTTCAGTTGGCCCACTTCAAGATTTAAAAATATGCCTTTATATACTAAACATGACGAAACTATTTGCTTCTAAAACAATTTATTTTCTCAAAAACATTTTAGATACACTCTGGTCGTAAAAGATACATCTTTGAAATCACTTAGACCTATAACTAATAGAACATCTGAACAAATAAACAATGTGCGAATAAATGCGCGAAGTTAACAAAGCAACAATTGAAAGATTACCATAGGGTAACATCACCTTTATTTTTTATTACGGCTGAAATTCTTTGGGGCATAGTGTTAACCAAGTTTTGGCAAAAATTTGGTGTAAATCAATCCCATATTTCTTGAAGCTTTTTTCTCAGTTCTATGATTGTACGAGCAGGATGTTGTCGTAGAACCTTTTTCATCTCGTGCCACAAAGTTTCAATAGGTGACAGATCTGGACTGCTAGAAACCCATTTCAAAAGTGGTACATTATTTTCTTCCATCCACTTTATAGCCTTTTTTGAGGTATGGCACGCTGCACAATCTTGCTGAAATTGCCAAATATTTCTTTGTATCCACAACTCCATCAATAAAATGAAGTTTTCATGCTCCTTTTGATGACATACTGCCCCAAACCATAATGGATGCTGGAATTTTCACTTTTCTCTTCAGACAGTCAACATGGAATGCTTCATTCTTTTGCGAATAACCCTACTGCGACTGTCACCAATACAAACTTCGAATCGGGCCTCATCACTCCATTGTATTGCACACCATTGTTGAGGTGTCCAGTGTCTATGTTCTTTAGCCCATCTAAGCCGATTTTTCTTTTGCAGTGTTGTTAATAATAATAATAATAATAGCCTTTATTTAACCTGGCGGGTGTCAGCTAAAAGCTGTTTTTCATACCAACCAGGGCCAAACAAAATTATAATACAAAATCTGGGAGACATAAACATTGTTGAGTAACAATAATGAAAAATCTATTATGCCAAGAATAGGCGTTTTTTTAATTTAAAGAAAAAATCGGATATAGTCACAGTTAACAGTTACACCATTACATAAGTTAAAAACTAAATAATATAAGGTATTATGACATATTTTCAAAAACAAATTTTTTTATTTTTGACCTAAAAAGTGGAACAGATAAAACTTTAAAGCTGACAGGGAGCATATTATAGCGATTGGGTGCAACAATAGAGAAACTCTTAGTAAATAGGGTGGTTCTATGATGGGGCGTGTTAAGGGTGTAACCAACGAAACGGAGGTTGGCTGCATGATGCTGACTTCTCAAGGATAACTTATTGTTTAAGTATATAGGATATTTGGTCAATAAAATGCTATGAACCAAACATAAAATGTGAACCAACCACCTCTGCCTCATCGTCAACCAATTCACTTCATGAATAAATGGAGACACTCGCTCCCTTCTTCGGATTCCAACAGAATATCTAATACAGCTGTTCTGCACTTTCTGAAGTCTGTAAGCTTCGGCTTCAGTCAAACAAGGACCAAACACGGAACTTCCATATTCTAACTTACTTAAAATGAGTGAATCGCAAAGCTTAATTTTAGTATCTTGAGCCAACACGTGCTTAAAGCTGTAGATGCTTTTTAGTTTAGCAAAAGAGCTCTGTACGACCTTAGAAATATGATCATGAAAAGTTAAGTGCTCATCAAAGATTATTCCTAAGTTTAATACCGATATTTTGTGTGTGAGCTCTTCACTATTGAGGCATAGCTTTATAGCATCTCCACTGAACTCGTTCTTCTTAGAGCGGAAGGTAATTATGGCCGATTTGCTACAGTTTATGTACCCATGGTATCTAAACCAATCACAAACGCCGCTTAAATCTACTGCTAGTTTTTCATTAGCATCAACACATGAGGAGGGATCATAGGATAGATAAAGCTGGGTATCATCAGCATAAGAATGTAAAGCGCAATGTTTGACCGACCGATCAAAGTCCGACACGTATAAAGTAAATAAGACTGGTCCTAAAATGGAACCTTGCGGCACCCCCTTTACAATGACCCGATTGTCAGAATAGTCACTGCCTATTTTAACTTGTTGAAGTCGATCTGATAGGTAATTGTCAAACCATGTAATCGAATTCTCAGAAAAACCAAGAAAGTGCAGCTTAGCCAATAACATTTTGTGGTTTAAACAGTCAAATGCCTTTCTTAAATCCAGCAGAACAGTTGTAGTTACGCAGGAATTATCTATAGCTCTCAAGTAGTCATCATAAATGTCAACTAATGCAGTCACAGTACTATGATTTTTTCTAAATCCCGACTGTGTATTTGGAATTAAGCTGTATTTATTGATGTGTGTTAGCATTTGCTCGTAAACGATCTTTTCTAGAATTTTTGACAAGAGTGAAAGTATGCTTATAGGCCTGAAATCGCAAGGCAATTGGGGATTATCGATTTTACCAACGGGAATAACAGTTGCGGCTTTCCATATGAGTGGTACGATACCATGTTCCAAAGAAAAGTTTATAATATGAGTAAGAGCCTTGAGGCAAAAAGGAAGAATATAGGAAAATGTATCTATATTTAATCCATCTAGTCCGGTAGCACGCGAGTTTATTTTTTGAAAGGTCTTCAAGACTTTTTCCTCGGTAACAAACTTAAACTGAAATAGGTCATTGATATTTGGTAGCATGTTGGTGTTGTAGTACTCTAAGAGTGTTTCATTTATTGAGTTATTGGGAACTGAATCCACAAAACAGTTATTTAATATGTTGGGTTCCAAAGTACACTGATTATTTTTACCCTTAGAACCATGAATCCCTAGCTCCTTTATAGCTTTCCACCAGCTCCGAGAACTGTTGCTTTTTCTTAGCTGGTATTCAATATATGCTTTTTTTTCGCGCCTAATAGATGCTGTGACTAGATTCCTTAATTGCTTATAGTAGTTCCATTTGGCAGTTTTTATCTCGTCAGAAAAATTGTTCTTAACAGTTTTCTTATACTTAGAATAGGCGTTATTGCGTAACCGCATCATGAATTTAATATTGTGTGTAATCCAGGGACAACGTGCTTTTGATATCTTCCTGGTTTTAATTGGTGCGCATATATTTAGCAGATCATCAGTAAGGCTGTAAAAGTGTTGCAGTTTTGATTCAATGTCATCATAGTCGATAACACCTAGCCAGTGCATGTTAGACGCTACCTCATTCAAAAGAGACTCATCAATATTCCTTAAATCACGGGTCTGTACATATTTTGTATCTCTAACGGCTGGTTCACATTCCACACAAAAATAAACTAGATAGTGATCGGACACCGCAGGAAGATTCACAACTCCTTTATTAGCAATCTTCTTAGAAATAGTGGCTTTTCTTTGGCCTATAAACAAGTTGCGCAACTTTAGGGTTTTTACTTCACTTTTTTTATAAGAAAACTTACCTTGCAAGTGCTAAATCCCAGTTTGTGGGTCTCTCTATGAGTTGTGGACCTAGAAATTCTCCTTCCAACAGCGTCACTCCACAGAGCACTTAATTGTAAATAATTGGCACGCCTGTTTTTCACGATTATTCTTCTTAATGCTCTTCGGTCGGCATTTGTGATATTACTTTTTTCACATATCGTGGCTTAGTATTAACTGCACCAGTTACGTTATATCTTCTAACAATATTTCTCACAGTGTACCGCGATAAGTCTAACAAAGCAATTTCTGAGTTTGATTTCCCAGAATTAAAAAAATTTAATTATTAGTAACCGAATTTTCTCACTAATAACCTTTCCTCTACCCATTTTGAAAACATTAACTACCCAAAACTAATTTAAACGTATTCTGACAGCTGTGATTAATAAAAACAATTGTCATGGCTTTTATTTTTCGCAGCCACCTATGCGTTATAGACTTATTTCGCATTGAAATGAAAATAGGTTGATATGCTGTAATTGCAACATGTGTTATTTTTATGCTGCAAATTTGATTAGGGAATGATACAGTTTGTGTTTTCTACTATATATTGTCAAAATATTCATTGCTAATATTTTAAACCTATAACACCTTGCTACATTTTTATTATTTGTGTTTGATAAGAAAAAATCTAAGATTTCAATAGTTGGGCCAACTGAAGTGGGAAGGGGCTAGTATATCCTTATCCGATTGTGCACTGTTTTTGAATTATCGCTATTTTCAAGGATCTGTGGAACATCGCTACCTTTGAGACTGTAGTATTTTTTTCTGTAGTTCCGTGGGGCCAAGGAAAACGAGGATAAGTCAAAATTTGCTCAAAATAGGATAAGTTCAAATTCAAATTGTATATTATGAGATCTTTGTTACGGACAAAGTGAGGTATTTTACTTATTCAAAATACAGCAGTGAAGTATGTTCATAATGAGATAAGTTCTAACAGGTCCCTGAAAATGTTCATGAGGAGGTTAGTTCACTTATCCCTTTCGCTATAAAAATATGAGCTGAATCGCTCCAGGACAAAACAAGAAGAAACTCGACTTATATCATTCCGCCCGTAATATTTTATTGTCAAATCCTGTCGTTGAGACAAATACACAGATGATGACATCATAAAAGTAACTGCAGTTCAGAATAAGAATTTGCACATTGTTGCAATGTATTTTGCCGTACTAAAATCCCATCCAACAGTGAAAGTGATCAATCACAAATTTTTAGTACCCGGACACACTCACATGGAATGTGATGGGGATCATGCTCTGATTGAGAGAACAAGAAGACGTTCAGAGACGCCAATCCATCATCCACGAGATTGGTATCAAATGGTTCGATTGACTGGGAAGAGACGTCCTTTTATAGTTGTTGAAATGGATCAGTCCAAATTTTTTGACTTTGCAAAACTTTTAAAAACTGAACCACAATTAAGAAGAAAGATGAATCTGGCGATCCATTTTGTTGGTGTAAAATACGAGAAATAAAGGTTAAGAAGGACAACATAGGCATCATGAATTTCAGTTGGAAACACTTGTCGTTTAGGAATCGGGGCACCCTGCGCAATTTAGCTCAAGATTTACAGTATGCAGATACAGTTTCAATTTAGGAAAAGAAAAAGCCGAACCTGATCACACTATTACCTTACATTTTCGACGTGTTTTGGGGTTTTTATAAAAATTTGACCACCAGCAGTGATAAAGAGACACAATTAGCTATGTCAAAAAACTGAAATTCTCGTTTCTGTTTTTAGTTTGGTTTAAATGTAACAAATAAGATAAGTACATTTTTGTTAAGTTTGTAAAGGGATATGTCAATTTTTTTCTTAAATAAACTTTTTCTGAAATGGCCTCCTGACACATGAAACTGGTTACCCCTAAAATTTCAAGGCTGTATTTACATACCCGATTTCAGAACAATACTTAAACTTTAAGTCGAACCACAGAGAATTCTAAAAAATAGACTTATCTCCCACCACGATATGTTCCCAAATAATGTGTCGCTAAAAAAAGCATTAATGTGGGTACAGAAATCGCATATTCTGCCGTGTTGTCTTTTAGCAAAAAGATTACAGCACTTTCACCGGTTTGTTTGAATATATTCTTAAGAGAAAAAAATGTACGCTGATGTATTTATTTCTCACTTTGGTAACATGACGCAAATTAGCCAAAAATATGCACCAAAACTAGACAATTTTGGCAACAAACGTATAGGATTAGCTCTTTCTAATGTATACGAATTCGTTGCTTCAAATAAACCTATAATGGTAGAATATCTAGAAATGTTTACTTTCGATATTCACTGTTATAAAGGGTGTTTCAGTAAGAACGCAATATTTGAATTTAGCGCTATTCTGGCAGTTATACTGTCATTATGATTGTGACATGACAGATCGATAGTAGACAGGTGGGGGTGTACAAAAATGAATCATTACACAATAGAACAGAGTATCCTAATTGTTCAAAATTATTACCAAAGTGGTGAAAGCTTAATTGCCACAATTCCAAGAGTGCAGCTAATATTCGGTCGGAACAATGTTCCTACTCCACCCATTGTGAACAGAATAATCAAAAAATTTGAAAGTGTTGGTTCTGTTAATCATGTGAAAATGTCAGAGCAGTCCGCGAAAATGTCCAGGGACGTCGATTCATCATCGCGCTCAAGAATTGGGCATTAAAACAGCCACCCTCCAGCGTATTCAAGCGAAAGATTTACACCTGCATGCCTACAAAGTCCAAATGACTCAACAGCTTATGCCAACAGACCGTGCACAGCGAAGAGAGTTTAGCAATTGGATCCTTGGCCAACAGTATGTGAATGGTGGTGTAGACAAAACCTTTTTAGCGATGAGGCCCATTTTCATCTCGATGGCTTCGTCAATAGATAAAACTGTCGCATTTGGGGCACAGAGAATTCAAAAGTAATTGATGAGAAAGCTATGCATCCAAAACGTGTCACTGTTTGGTGTGCACTATGGTCTGGAGGAATTTTTGGACCGTTCTTCTTTGAGGACGAAGCGGGTGATCCACTAACAGTGAATGGCGAACGTTATCGTGCAATGATTACTAAGTTTTTTGTGCCACAATTGAGGAGCGATCAGCCAAAACCAGATAAATCCATTTCATAAAGTTTCAAGATAATGGCAAAAAACCGTCCATTAGGGCGTCCGTAAATTTAACCAAGAAAATAAATGGTGTATCTGAAATATATGGTGATATAGTCCTCTTAAATACTGCTTTTGTTTTTTTTTATGATTAACGTAGTAATTACTGCAAATTACAAAATGGATTTATCTGTTTTTGCTTGAGTTAACTAACTTTATAATGTAAAAAGTGTTTATTTTAATATAAATATGTTTAATAGCAAATTTTTTACGTTAATAAGGCATTTTTTAATTTTATTTATTTATTTTTTTTATTTTTTTTATTTTATTCCTTTTTATTTATTTTTTATTTTTTTATTATTATCTAAGTATAATATCTTTTTAAAACTTTGTTGTACTTTTGAAATAAAGCAAAGATATATTTTCAAACGTTTATTATAAATCAAAAAAGTTAAAAAAATAATGAACGATTTAAATATGTATTCCTTGGTCATCCTCGAGGCAATCGCAAAGTTCGTTCTCATTTTGTTCTTGAACTTCGACGGCACCTGCTTCAAGTGGAGCTTCACGCAATATATTTTTGTACCACGCTAGATTTTCATTATTCTCCCAGGTTGTACCAAACTGTTGAGCCATCAGATGAGCTAGGGATTTTTTCTTTTTCTCGGGAAGAGATCGCCTTAAAGGAATTTCTTCTAATACTATTGGAACTTCTTTTCGTTTTTTAAGAATTTGTTGGGGCACTTCATTTAAAATTTCCATTCTAAAATTCTGATGACATTGTACTTTCACGATATCTTGTCCTATTTTATTACGGGATTTCTTGATAAGGATTCGCTTGTAGTCGGAAATACCTACAATTTTCTTAAGACAATCTTGCAGATTTTTAATGTCGTAAAGATTCCACTCAATGCCAAGTTCTTTCACAGTTCCAAACTCAGAATATTTTTCAAGGTATTCGTCCTTGCTTAATATTGTTGTGTTTTTGCTTAAAGATTTTTCCACACGGCCAAAAACCCTATCTGCTGGAAGGAAGCTATGTCCTCGAACTGGGAAAGTCAACTGGATTTCTTTTAAAGTGCCGGGGGGCCTATTTTTGAGCCAAAAATAAAGGGCATGTACAATATGTGAGTTTTTGTTCTGGCCCCCACAACCGTCACAAAATAGTCTTAATACTTCAGTGTCTTCGAGTTCCAGTGAATCCAAATAATTTAATAGAGCTGAACCTATCTGAACTGACCCACGACCAGCTTGTATCTCAGTCCAGGTGTAAAATGTAGGGTGCCTTGAGTTCATGTCGACGCAACAAAATATGTAGAGACTCACTTGGTGAGAGTAAAAGGCATCTGAAATGGGGGTGCGAGGCAATGGTTGCAGCTGCTGCATATCAAAGCAAAAAGTTATTGAATTTGGAGAATCTTCTTTTGCAAGTTTGTAGAAAGCGTCTGCCCTCTTTCTATGTATTCGACGTTCGATCATCAGGTCAGATTTTTTTTTGGGATCTTTTTCATTTCTTATATTGTCTTTAAGACGTATGCATAGAGCACAACAGTCTGCTGCAGGTGATGAAAAACCTATATTAAATTCTCCACAAAAAATTCTAGAAAACATGGATAAACTCGATTTATATTGTGCAGGTTCCTGTGAGTTAAAAATCTTATGCAATTTGGCAATACTCAAATTAGCTTGCAAGTATATTCGGATAGACTTTTTTCTGTTGTAATGGCTTTCGGTACCCCTTAAATTTCCAATAAACTCTCTTATTTTATTTTTTTTTATCTTCTGTTTTTCTGGAAACTGATCGCCTCCACGAGTTTCCTTTGGCACTCCTCCATCGTGAATAACTTTGCAACGGTATTGACTCGATTTTTTGATATTCCCAAACTTTTAGTAAAAAAAGCTTGACATACTCTTACGGATTTCTTTTTAGTTCTTGATTTGAGGTAATAAGTAATATTAAGGAGGCGTTTTTTTGGATTCACTTTGTTGGAGCGTTTCCTTAATTTTTCACAAACACCCAGCATGTGACATAACCTCATATCCTGCGTAACTTTATCAGGAACAGCATAAAGCGTTCGTCGAATAAGTCTAATATCAGCCAAGGCAACAGTACTGCACTTATAACTAGTCGTGTTATGATTGCATGGTCTCGTAAACTTTAATAGTCCAGGATCCTTATCAACATATTTTTGTTGCTTGTTTAACCTTCGTTTCTCAGAACTTCCTAAAAAAGGCGTACTTGTAAAAATAAAATAAGCAATCTAATAGAAATTTAGTTACCTTCTCGAACAGATATATCAATGTCTCTGTCGTGCTCGTCCATTCTCTATCACTGTAGGCGCACAGGCATATAGGGTGGAGCTGGACAGTGTTATATAGGTTCCGGTCACTCGCCTGTTTCAGCTACTCGGAGTATCGGTACTCGACTAGCGACGGACTGAAGAATATTATAATAATAATATTAATGAAGAAACTTGTCAGAAAACTACTCATACAGCGTATATTCGCGGAAGGGCACTGGTTTCCGTATCGCACAACGTTCCAAACGGTTACGATAACAGAACTAAACTGAATGAATCATATTATTTTCCTATAACCGCCCGATATTCGTACGCGAGTTACGCGACCTTGGCGTAGGAAAGAGCCGAAAATAGATTGGTAGGAATGTGCAAAACATCAAGAATACCATAAAAGAAATGCTTTCGCAAACGGATTTATCCCTTTTTGTTCGAAACAAGCCTATGCCATTTAATTTTCTGGATTTATCTGGTTTTGCTTGAATTGCTCGACTTTGAGGTCGATTTTGAATGGGATTTAACGAGTTTTCGTTGAAACTGATTGCGCCATCGGATTTATCCCACCAAAAGAAATAGAAATCGATCATAAAATTATTTTTGCCCAAAAGTGGATTTATCTGGTTTTGGCTGATCGCTCCTCAATTAATGACATATGGTTTCAGCAGGATGGTGCCACACGCCATACTGCTTATGAAACATTGACAGTTTTGCACGAGTTTGCTCCTGGTCGAGTCATCTCCCACTTTGGTGACCAGAATTGGCCGCCACGCTCTTGCGATTTAACACCTTTGGACTTTTGGACTTGGTGTTATCTGAAGTCACAAGCTTATGCCAACATGCCCGCAACCACCGAAGCATTGAAAGCGGACGCTGTATTAACGAGATACCACGACATGTGTTCAAAAATGTTAGCACAAATTTTATAAAAAGGTTG